TAAGAAATCCCAAATACTGTCATACTGCCACATTATTCTTTTGGCATATATTTCATGATGACATGGGAAGGTGAAATTGGAACTTAATCTTAGACGAATGTCTCTTCTGCATCAAGCGGAGTGGTGGTTGAAGATGGTACTAGCCTTAACGATCAGCTGGATATTACAGCATCCCCACTTCTATTGGCAGAAGCATGAATAAGCACTCCGTAATTTGCTCCAGACAAAATGACACAGATAACTAAAAATATCCTCTTTCATGGTTTAGAAAACATGGTTGCCTTCCCTCTAGCAGAATAAGGAATGTTCCCTAGCAGAGCTGTAGCACAGCAATGAACAGCTGGTGCAGGTTCTTTCTCAATTACCACAGCTATCTGGAGCCCAAGTTTCTTCTAAGATGCATGATTTGTTTAGAAATCATGAACTTTAGTAGGTCAAACTAGTCAACAGTGGAAATATTTAAAAATATTGCTCTCCTTAAGAATTCTATTTCTAGTGACAATGCTTTCTGCGTGACAAAAATGGAAACAATCTCAAAGCACTATTTCTGTTGGGCACATGACGTCTGCACTGGGTTTATTCAGTTCCTTTGGCAATATATAGAGAAAAAAATGATTTAACTAATTTCTCTGTCAAGCTGGGGGTTCTTCCTTGCCCTGCTGGAAAACTACAAGAAAATTTCCTGAAATAATACCTTCATTCTTCATCAAGAAGTATAAAAGCACACTGGAATCTCCAGCATGTCCTGTCACCTGTTAAGTTGATGTAAGTAAGGAGTATGTGGCAGTTTTAGAAGAGCACAACGTTCTGAGAATACGCTATCCTCATGTGTAGTACCAGAAATACATGCATAAGCAGCAAAACACTTTATTCATAAAGTGTTTCACTCAACTCCTATTGCTTTCAAAAAAGTAATAAAAGCAACTACTCTGGCAAGTGATCCTGATGTATACGTAAGTTGGGCCAAATCTTGACTTTTATGAGTAAATATTTCACAGCCTTAATATTTGAAGACAATGCACTAGCAAAAGCCAAAATCGATAACTTTGTCAGGGCAATTTCCAATTTGATAAACCTTGATTTTTCTGGTGTGACTTAAAAGAGATCATATTGAAAAGACTATAGGTACTTTTATAGGATGAGAAAAACAGTATTATCTTAAAGAAACTTTCCCTCTGCATTTCCCTGCAGAAGAGCTTAACTTCAATCCATTTCCATGTTCTATATATAGAAACCTATATAGAGAGTATGTCTCTCCTGCTAATACTGTAAGAATCAATCTGGGAACATTTATTTCTTTGCTTTAGGCCTTTCTTACGAGGTTAGCTGACTTATCTTGAATATTATTTGCAGCTAGGGCTAGGGATCAGTTAACTATTACCATATTGGGCAATACTGCAATTCAGTTTGAATAGCACCTTATGTTGCAATTAGCCTCAGTGAATCATTGTGATTATTCATACAGTAATGTACCCAAGCACAAATAGCTGTTCCATGTTCTCCTGGCTATACAGGATCAGACTACATCCATTACTAATTTAGGCCTGTACTGAGCAAACTCCCTGACCTGACCTTTAGGAAGTTGCTTTTACAGGACTATTCAGTATAAGTAAAAATTATGTCGCACACTGCATTGAGGCCTAATTTTTTGACTGAATCTCAAGACAGAGAGCAGTTACTCACACAAGCAATTCTGCTAGCTACAGTATTCAAATGATTACTGCTTTGGCAACATGCATGAAGATTACAAGTGCAGTCCCCTCTTAGGCTTATGATTGTTCTCAGTAGCATGGTAAATCTGGGATTCAGAATGCTTTTGAAGGTTTTTTATCTACTTTTAGTTTTGCGTAGATTGGCTTCCATTTTTTTAAAATTCTTTTTAAGAAATTATGATCATTATTTATCTACTGAAAATAATTTAGTGATAGCAATTCAGTCATATCTTCAGCCTGGGAAATCCCACTGCCAGTTGAGATTCCTGTTTTCTTGAGTATGGTAAATCAGCAGAGTCTACGGCTGATACATCTGCAGCATAACGTTTTTTCCTATAAGTACTGGCTGTTTTCATACTACTGAGCATGAATTTCATTCATAATAATATAAAGTGCTGAAGTTTCCCAGAACCGTTTCATGTAAGGTAAAACAGGTAACAACACCCATTTATCGAGCTCAGCTTGAGTCAGAAAGTGGAGACTTGATTCTGAGGTGGACGGACTTCTGGTCTAACTCAATACAATAGAGAAACTTTTGCCATCATGCATGCTACAACAAATGTAGTCCTGAACATTTAGATTAGATCCTTCCCCTAGGGAGTAAAGATGCTGATCAAAGCTGACTCTTTTGTCAGTTTAACTTTCAATACATTCTCTTCGGCTTTGCTGTTTACTTCTCGCTCGTTAAAGATCTGATCCACGTCCTTCTGAAGGAAGCATTTCTCTAAGCAGATTCAGTTCCTCTGTAGAGATCTACTATGAGGCCTGTAGAGTATTAAATTTCTTGCTTGAGATCTCATCTATTTCATCCAAAACAGCTATTTTATTATCATAAATGAAATATAGGTGAGCAGAAACCAAATTCTCATTTTATTAATACAAATTCATAATAACATTTGTGAAATACAACTAAGGAGGTTTTCTTTCATGAAAATATTACCAGTGGTGTTGGGAACTGGATATAGTTTTGCCTTGCCTAGAAATTTAGCATCCAAAATTACTCTATTATTTGCAGCAACAAAAGTAAAATACGCAATATGTATATACTTGCAATATACATAGATAGTAATTTTATTTCAACATGCGATACACTCAAACCCTAATTCTGAAAAAAGTAACAGTACAAAAAGGGGAAAAAAGAACTCCTACAGCAGTTTCTTTCAGAGAAGACAAAAGATAATCACGTGAACTTTTACAACAGGAAGCAAACTAGTTAGTCAAGAGCTAAAAATACAAGATATTTTTAAGTTTAAAAAGCACAAGCTTGTGGTCTTTTTACAATGTTGACCCATTTTCTTCAAATGCCTCAAGAACCACAGCATAAGTGCCTCATCCTGTGAAGAAGAAAAGTTTGGCACTCCACCTTAAGAACAGCAGTTTTCTGTTTGCCTGCCTCTGAGTGAAAATGTTTTAAATCAAAACTTTAACACGTTGGATATAGCTGTGCTGCTGCATCGAGATGCAAACTGCCTCATAAAATACAGAGAAGAAAGTTCACGTAAAGGAGAGGACATATGGAACTACCCTTAGAAAGACAATTTTAATTCATGTTTGGATTTCATATGCTTTCCAGGGTGAAAGGAGACTGAGAGAAAATATGAAAAAATCTGTGCACCTTCAGCTGTTTTGCCATCCCACACGCTAGGCAGTGCCACTCATTTTTGGGTGGCACTTGCTGAATGCAGTAAACCTAAGCTGAGCTCTATTATGCTAGGCTCTGAAAGGTGAATTCACCTTTTCCAGAGTTTTTCTACCTCTGCGTGATGAGTTACAGCAGCTTAAGACAGTTTTAGAAGAGGCTGAGGATCTGCACCTTCCTTCTTGCCTTATTTCTTCTCCCTGTTCACACAAATATATGCAGCTTGATTTTAATATAGGTTGAACAATCATCCTATTTTCATATAAATAATGGATATGAATTTTCAAAATATTTATTGTTCTGTAAAAGCACCATTAGCTATCACTATAAACAGGTGTTATGTGTACTTTCTAGACCAGAGTACTGTAGTAATAACTCTTTGGCTTTGCTACTTATTAACTGACTGACCTTGGATAAGCCATGAAAGTTTGCCAAGTCCTAGTATAAATACTTAAAGGAAGGATGTGCAAGACCAGAGAAAACTCGATGCTGTAAGGTGCATACATATTTTTGTAGTTTCATTTTCTTTAACTTTCAGCGCCTTCAAATCAACGCAAAGTACCATTTCAAGAGCAGTGCTATTTTCCTGCAGTTTTGTCTGACAAACTCATTTAACCTAGAACCTCTTTACAAAGCTGCAAGGTCAAAATTTTATACAAAAGCATCGTATTGCATATTTTGACTTGAAGGCAGAAGACAGTGAGGACAGAGGCACCCTAAACCAATATAAAATAATGTATAATATAGGCTCAGATTACATCAAAAAAGAGCACAATTCACTGCATTTCCTTGTATTGTTTAGACTATAAACACTCAAGGCCTGGGATTGCATTTTACTACTTCTCATAACCAGTTTATGAGGAAGTTTATGAGTTTATATAGGAAATAATTCAAGTCAAAGAGTAACACTCACCTCAGAGACTTAAAATAGGTTATGTCTGATTATTTTATGCAACAGATCATAGATCTCTTTAATCACTAACTTGCAGGCAGCACAAAATATCGTGCTTTATTTCAACAGTTCATAGGGGTGAATAGCACATATATATAACCTAATTGCAATTAAATGTTATTGATCATTCCACTCAGCTGTATACATGGCTTACTCTCATTTCCTAGCAGCTTTCACTCTCAGATTCCCCAGACATGTAACAGTTGAATTTTGCAATAAGTTTTATTTATGTTAGTTTTTTTTTTTAACTGAATCATTGCCAAAGTGTTAGTTGTTATAACCAGTTATAATTGTGTTGCTATTACAAGCTCAATTCTTAAATACTAATCCATAGCAACTACGAGGAGTTAACATGGACTACAAAACCAAAATAAACAATAACCTCACTTTACAAACCCATCTAAGCCTAGGCTAGTTTACCTTAAAATGCAGGATGGTTAGACAACAATTCATGCCTCTCAAAATTAAGCTTAAGGTAACTGTGCTTTAATGAAGTTCATATGCTTAAAAATTAAAAAAAATGCAATTCTAAAAAGTGTGTTGATAAAGTAGTTGTCTATTTTGAGAATTAATTGCTACTACTTCCTGAATCTGTGAGATTTTGCATCACAGACTGCAAAGATTACTGCAATTATGAAACAAAAATTCCACCATCTCAGTGTATTTTAGGACATTTCTTAAGGTTCTTCATCACTTCTTTTTTTCCTTTGTTCCCTCTTTATGACATGCTAGTTTTGAGCTCCATCTCACTTCTCCATTCTCTAGTTCCTTAGTGTGTATGCCGTTCCTCTGTTTTCTTTTTTCCCTTTCTTTTTTGACCAGCTTATCTCCCTCACCTCACACTGCTTTGAAAGAGACTGTATACACGGTCGGTAATGACTCTGCTGTCCAAGGAAATTCTCTTCCATCAAAGCTATTCTATGCCTTCTCTTGTTAAAAGATGGACAATTTAGATCTTAAAGACTGCTTCTGCTGAGGACCATAATTAGTCTTATTCTGCCTGGGGTAACAAAGAACTACCCAGCCACAGGGAGATGACCATTAGATCTGACAAAACAAAACAAAACAAAAAGCTGTTTTACTACCACTTGTTTTTCCAAAGGCAAGAGGTTCTTGATACACTGAATTCAGCCATCCTAACCACGAGGGTTCACAGAAAGAGTTTGGATTCTTTTTATTTTTTCCAAAATCTGGCCTGCTGAGGTCTTTTGTCCCATGTGTTATAAACTGCCTTTAAAGAGCTGACCCAAACAAATAAATGGAAGTTCCCCCTGCCCTTTATAGGGGAATTACGCCAGCAGAACTTAAGAGAGGCACCTGCACTGTCTCTGGTATCAAGCTACCATCCATAACTGGCCCACGTCATTTAACGCTACTGCAGTTAGCAAAAGCAGAAAGGCAAAGCTCCGCTGAACCTTCCTTACCCAAACACTAGCATCATACAACTAATATTTGTCGAGATTAGATGTCCGCACATCAGGAAGCCACCTGCCTCCTCGTCAGCCTCCCTCCGCCAGGCTTCGAGCAAGGCCCCGAGACTCGTGCTGTGCCAGGTGGGATCCTCCTGGGCTCTCCCCGGACTCCCCACAACTCGGGCCCGACACCGACTTTACACTACGACTTTGCAGGCCTGCGAGTCATTCCTCGCCCAGCTCAGCTTCACCTTCCCTACTCGCAGATCACAGCCTGGAAGAAAACGACTCTACAATTTTTAAAAGCTTTTTATGGTGAATGAAAGTCGCAAGAAATGTTAAAAGCTACTTTTTTGTTGTTTGTTTTGGCCTCCAAGGGTCTACCACACATTTTGCCTGCTTGAGCTGAAAACTCCAACGTAGCTGCTGAAACATCACTGAAATGGAAAAAAGAAAAGAGAGCAGATACATCAGCGTTGTAGGAAGCGCTACACCGCTGCGCGTAGACGGATCCCGCTATTTACGCTCTTTCCCGCCGGCTAGGGCTCCGCGCACCGCTCCTCCCCCCGCTACGGGAGACACCCACTTCCCGGGGGGAAACGGTAATTCCTGAGGTGAGGCGTCCCCCCCGCCCCGGTATTTTAAACCCCCAAGGGGGCTCCCCGCGCCTGCAGGGGGAAGGCGCCGAGGGGGCGTTTGGCCCCGTCAGCCCCTCAGGAAACGCGGCCGTTACTGGCTCCGCGCAACTG